CCCCGCCCGCCACCAACCCGCTCGCCACCATGTCTGTGGAGCTCGAGGAGGCCCTGCCGCTGACGACCGCCGAGGGGGCGGCCAAGAAGGCGGCCAAGGCTGGCGGCTCGGCGACGCTGTCCCCATCCAAGAAGAAAAAGAACAACAAGAAGAAGAACCAGCCGGGCAAGTACAGCCAGCTGGTGGTGGAGACCATCCGCAGGCTGGGCGAGCGCAACGGCTCGTCGTTGGCCAAGATCTACACGGAGGCCAAGAAGGTGGCGTGGTTCGACCAGCAGAACGGACGCACCTACCTCAAGTACTCCATCAAGGCGCTGGTGCAGAACGACACGCTCCTGCAGGTGAAGGGCACCGGCGCCAACGGCTCGTTCAAGCTCAACCGCAAGAAGCTGGAGGGCGGCGGCGAGCGGCGCGGAGCCACGGCGGCCGCCACCGCCCCGGCGCCCGCCGCGCACAAGGCCAAGAAGGCGGCCCCGGGCGCGGCCGGCCCCCGGCGCGCGGACAAGAAGCCGGCCAAGGGCCAGAAGCCCGAGAAGCGCTCGCACAAGAAGGGCGCCGCCTCCAAGAAGGACAAAGGCAGCAAGGCTAAGAAGGCGGCGGCCGCCGGGGGCAAGAAGGTGAAGAAGGCGGCCAAGCCCAGCGTCCCCAAGGTGCCCAAGGGCCGCAAGTGAGCGCGCCGGCCTGCCGGGTCTTCCCGGCGTTCGGTTTTTCTACCCCAAGTGTTTTGTACGGTTGTCCGGCCGGGCCGCCGCCGCCCCTGCTCTGAGCCGCACGGAGGGCCTGGGGCCCGCTCCATTCCCCTCTTCGTCCCCCCTCCCCCGCCGCCGTAGCGTTTTTTTGTTGTTGTTTTTGCTTTAGATTTTTGAAACGGCCTGGAGACGCCCCTATTGGCTCTCGCCCTTGGCAACGGCCGTCGCCATGGTTACCGGCCCCTAGGCGCCAATGGCCGCGGCCGCGCCTGCCTGCCCCGGCGGGGGCCGCGGGGTGGCGGGGCCCTGGTGCGCTAGGACCGGCCCCCGCGCCGCCCATCCCCACTTCCCACCCTCCGCCTTCGGGTGCGCGACAAACAATCGCTCGGGGCGCGGGCCGCGCGGCCTTCCCTTCATCCCGCCGGCCTTTTTGGGGCACAATAAATTGTTTAAACCTTTGAACCGCTCTCGTTTTCTTCCGAGTGGAGTAGGGATGGGCGCGGTCCGCGCGCGGCTTGGGTTGGATGGGGTCCCAAGGGTCCTGGGCACCCCAGATGTTAGCGAGGTAGGCCTGGAGCCTGGAGTTCTCCGCACGGGGTGGTAACTGCGGGGAGGGGGCGGCCGGCTGATCCCGGAGGGAGACTCAAGGGACAGATCTCTTGTGAGCGGAGGTGGAAAGATGCTGAAGATTGCTGGTCGGGCCCCCGCTAAGGGGGGAAGGGGGGGCAGCCCTGGCTTTTCGGGGTTTGCTGGTCAGGGCCCCTCAGCACGTACAAGGTCACACCAGGCTGGGCCTTTGCAGAGATTAGTTAATTCTGAATTCACTGAGACTTTGTGTTGATGCGATGAGGATATTGGAAATGTGGAGGCCTTGGGCTCTGGCTCACTGAGACAGCCCGAGGTGTGGCCTGAGCAAGGCATTGGTCCTCCGTCTGTTGGCCGATCTGGAGTGCACACGGACCGGAGGGTTATTGGACAAGTTGGGAAGAATGATCCACAGCCCCGAAACACTCTGGTGTCCAGTATATGTGATAGTTGTATTTTAAGACCCAACTGAGCCCTTGAGGAATGTTCCTATGAAGGCAACTCTGCAAAAGGAAGGCTCTGGGGCGGTGGGAAGCTAGGGAATGTTCTAGAACAGTGAGTATGTACATGTACCAAGCTGGGTAAGCCTGGGCTTGGGGTAGGGGACAGACGGAGATGATCTCTGTGTTAGAGACTATAGGAGGGATGGGGGAAGGGCAATAGGGGAGGGGAGGGAGCATCACTGGAGAAGCCCCTCTGGCCTGCTGGTATACCTGACCCAGGTCTGGCAGCCACTACCGTCCCCTGGCACACACAGTGGGGTCACAGGGCAAACCCTTCAGCCACCTACCACCCTGCAGACCCTTCCACAGAGAGCAAGTGGCCACTCCACGTGCTCTTTCTGCTGCCCGCTGCCTCCTGCCTCTGGGAACTGCAGGGCCCCGTGCCAGCATGAGTCTCCCTGGCCTTGTCCTGGGCTGGGCTGTGACGAAGGACACGGTGGGCAAAACCAGCACAGGCGCCTGCCCTGCACAAGCTTCCCTGCCACTGGAGAAGACAAGTCACAGCCAAGTCCCTCTGCCCATCGTTGCTCTCTAGGCAGAAGGTTTGAGAACAAGATGACACCTCCCCCTGAGTATGGAGACCTGCTGACATGGCAGTAGGGGGCCCTGTCATTAGGGCAAAGGAGGAAACAGGATGCTAGCCTTGGCTGCAACTGTTCTGGTTCTGGGCAACTGTGGGCATCCAGGAGGTAGGCAGGAGGCCTGGGTTGGAGACAGCAGGACCATGGTGGGCCGGGGCTGACTGCTCCACCCACCCTGCCAGCCCATGTCCTAGCCACTTGCTAATCAGTAATAGTTTCATACATGTGCAGTTTGGGGGGGGTTGCCCAGTGCCCTGCCGCAGGGCCACGGGGCCAGCCCAGCCCCTGTCCCACACTGCCTGCAGGGCCAGCTAATAGGCCATCAGCAGCTAGAAGCCAGGCGAGGCCTCGGCCTGCCCAGGATTCTGGGGGATGGTGCTCCTGACCAGCTAAATGTGACCCCTCAGATTCCAACCCCCCTCATTGTTCCCTAAATTGGAAACCCAAGCCCAGATGCCACCTAGGCTCACTGCTCACCCCGGTTGTCCCAAGTCAACAATCTGAGGCCAGGGCCTGAGACTTGGCTTTTTGCTCAGCTCCCAGGTAACTCAGGTTCTGAGAGGGGTTGAGAAGGGGCTGCTAGAGGGGCCTGGGCACATGGACAGTGCACCTGCTGTGTGCAACAAGTCACACAGAGTGGCACCCCTTCCCCTGAGCCCCTCCTAACCAGAGGCCCCCCACCCCCGACCATCTGTCCTTTGCAGACATCTCCTGAGCTCCACGGCCCCA